AATTATTCTTAGAAGAATAAAGATAACCTAGATACTTAAAGACCCGAAAACGTATCGGCTATTTATAATAATAAAATTCGAAAAGATAGAATTATCACGGTTAAGACTATATTAATAAATAAACTAATAAATATAGCGACTAATACGCTTTCGACGAACACCTTTTTAAATAAAAGTAAAAAGGATATTAATATAAATACTACTATTAACTCTTCAGAGTATTATTATAGTACTCTGGTGTTAGCTAATTCTACCTAACTTAACTATATTTAGCCTAATATAGAGTATGATTTTTCTATTCGCCTAAAATTATCCTATAATAACTCTTATAAGGATATATTCCCGGAATTAGTATTAGTAACGGGAGATCTACTAAAAAACGAATAGATTATAGACTCCGGTACTTCTTATTCTATTTATATTAATATAAATACTATCGTTAAATTTTAAAAGTATAATAGTCTATCCTACTAATATTAAACTACCGAAGGGCGAACTATTAAGTCTATAGGGAAAGCGATCGTAAGAATCGAATTAATTCTCCTAAATAGTCCAAAATTATTAGATATTAACTATAAATTTATACTAGATAGTATATATAACCTACTATTAATAACTTAAATATTCTAAGAACACAAAATAGATTAGAAGGACTAGGAAAATAAATTTGTTAACCTAGAGTCTAATACTACTTTAGCCTATATATATCGAAAACGTAGTGTCCTATTCTTATACGTAAAAATACTCTAATCTACCGACTAGATCCCGAAGATAACTTAAGTTTAATAGGCTTATTCTATAGCTACTATTATATCTTAAATTACCTATTCCCGACTTAGATATATTAGATAACTAACTACAAAAATCAACCAGACTTATATTAGTGATAATATCTATAATAATAAAACCTTTAATTATAAACTATACAGATTAGTAAAATCTAAAAGAATCGTATCCTATATTACCTAGATTAAATCAGAAATTCCTTAGGAATTTTTATATATCGATATATAACCCTACTCCCCTATTAGTATTAGAAATTTAATAAATATCTTAATTATAGTCGATAATACTACTAGATTCAGATAGAGCTTACTATTAAAAATAAAAGGATAAGTATCTAATAAGTTAATTAAATTCTATACGACTATTTTTAATAAATATAGTATTTAGCTATTAGAAGTTCGAATAGATAGTAACCGGAGCTTCTACAAATTTTAATCCTAGGCTAAACAAAAAGGAATAACGTTTTTAGTTAGCGCGCCCTATATATATAAACAAAATAGAGTCTCTGAAAACTCTGGTTATATTATTATATAGGGTATACGAACTTTAATAGTTATTAATAGAGTTTCCTCCCTCGGTGCTGAGTGGTGTGTGATCAGGACCAGCTGTCGCCTAGTGTTGAGAGGTTTGGAGGTTTTCCCCTACGTGGGCAGGTTTTCCCTTCTTCCTCTCCCCAACCCGTTCAGATCTCGTGCTGCTTCCTATGCCTGTAGACTTTCTAGGTCTCTCATTATTTTCTAAAACAAAATATTAATATTACCCAGAATATAAGGCTAAATATTTTATAAAAAGAAATTAATAACTTACGGATTATTAATCGAAGCTTATAATCTTATAATATAGGAATATTTTAGGACGAACTTACCTAAAATACTCGGTCTATCCGCAGACGCTAAATATCTCTAGTCGTAAATATTCAAAACCTCCTAAATCTACGAGTCTAACTAATATAACGCTAAATTTTATAAAATATACTAATTTTACTACTAAACTAAAGTAATAAAATTATTCCGATCTAACTAAGGAAAAGAGGTTCGGATACTCGATAATATAAATAACTTTAAAATATAGAAAATATAAATATAACTAAGAAAACGATTTCTTTTATAAATCGGAATAATCGAAATAACTAAAATATTATAAGTTAATAATTTAATAATTTTAGGGATATCTCTTAACTTAACTTTTACCCTTAGTTAACCTAAAATAAGCGCTATAAATCACTAAAAATTCTATATAAGAGGGGCTCGACTAACTTAATAATATTAATTAATATATTTAAGAGACCTCGATAAATAACTTCGCAAACTTTAGAAATTAGTTATTTATAATATAATATCCTAATATAAAGCGTTAAAAAAATTCCTAGTATATTTCTACTAACCCCTAAGGCCGCTAATATAAATAAAATAGAAAAGGCCTATAAAAATATACTATCTTAATCGGCTTATTAAGATATAGAACTACTATAAATTTCAAGAAATCGAGTTCGAGATATATAGAATTCCCGTTATTCTTTAATTAACCTAATTAATATATTAATAAACTAACTAACTTTTTATACCGACTAGGTCAGGACAGTTCGAAGATCTACTTTACCTATACGTCGTTCTTTAAGATAATCTATCCCAAGAACCCTAGATAAGGAAATAGTTCGTTATATATAAAAAGGGAAAATACGCCCGATTAAAGAACTTAAAGACGAAGGATTAGTATATCTTATAATTTAAACCAGAGGAGGTATTCTTTATACTACCTCCGTCCTAGATAATTTTATTAGGCCTAGTATTTCGTATACTATATCCGAAAATATTCGATCCGTAATAGTAAAAATACCCTCGACTTATAGGGAAGCTATAAAAACGGAATTTACTATATAATAGTTTAAAGCTAAAAAGACCTAGTTAAAAAAGTTTTAAGCCTCGAATATAATAACCCTAATTAATAAACTACTAAAAGGTACTAAAATCTTACTAGGTAAATAGGTCTATAATATTAAATATAACTCTAATAGCCTTATCTTAGAATTTCGAGCGAGATAGGTTATCTATAGGAACTATCAAACTCCTAGTATTAATTTCTAACCCGATAAAAGATACGCTCCTATTATAAAAGATACTTCTATAAAATTATTTATAACCTTAGTAACTATTAGAAAATAGGAAACAGAATAATAGGATATCGTTAGTGTATATCTAAATACTATAATTAATAATCGGGTTATTTTTATAAAATAACTAACTAGATATAAGAGTTATAATCTAAATAGCGACGAATATTTATATATTTTAAACTAAGCTTTATATAGCTTACGATAAGCTAGTTACTTATAGTATAAATTATTTAAAAATAATCTAGCTTAACTTAGTTTAACCCTCTTAACCTTAGAACCTTATATTTTCAAAAATTCTAATATAATAGCCTTTATTATAATTTATATAGATAATATTCTAGCTATAGGATTAAATAAAAATATTATAATAATTCGATTAGGATTAATTAAAAGACGTAAGTTAAAAATCCTTCTATTCAAAAGGTTTCTTAGATATAATATTATTAAGGAAATAGGTCCCTATATAATTTTTATAAACTAATAGGCCTACTTAACTAAATTACTTCACGATAAGGATCTCGAAAATTATAATCTATTACTAATCCCTATATCCCTATCTTAGAAAATCCCTTAACCTAATAATAATCCTAATAATCTAAATAATAAGGAATTTAATAAAGGGACTTACACGAAAATAATAGGGAGAGTAGGTTAGTTATTAATTAAAATAAGACCTAATATAGTAGCCGCCGTATCTAAATTATAACGACGAAATAACTCTCCGAGATATATAGATATAATAGCCTATAAAATATTATTAAGATATTTTATAGGAATAATCGACTTTAGAATTCTATTTACTTATAAACCGGATAAAGGCCTTAAAGGTTTTATTGATTCCTCCTTTACTAATACGGAAAAGGGTAAATTAACAGAGGTATATATATAGTTTTTCGCCAGGAGTCTAATATTATAGAGCTTAAAAAGATAAGAAATTATTATATAATCCTTAAGTATAACTAAATATTATATGTTAGCGACCGCCGTAAAAGAAGGCTTATACCTAGCTAAAATTACTACTAAACTAGAATTAATAAAACCCTTAAATCAAGAAGGGGATTTTAAAAACAATATACTAATTATATTATTTTATAACTCCGATAATATAATTAAAAATATAAACTATCCCAAAATTAGTCTAAAATTAATATATATCTCTACGAGGTACTATTTAATTAAGGACCTTATAAAAAAGAATCTTATTTAATTAGTAAATATTTTAAGTAAGGATAACGCTAATGATATCTTCACAAAAATTAAACCGAACGGTATATTCCAAGACGACCGTAGAAGATTACTCAGAATACGTCTACCGAGATGATTTAGATATTTTATTTAGGCGTTTTATTTTATACTACGTATAAATATATACGTTAAAAATTAGTTAGTTATATAGCTAGTCCTAGGGGGGGTATAATAGAGTTTCCTCCCTCGGTGCTACGTGGTATACGTGGCTAGGACTAGCTATTGCCTAGTGTTAAGAGGTTTAGAGGTTTTCCCCTACGTAGGTAGGTTTTCCCTTCTTCCTCTCCCTAACCCGTTCAGATCTCGTGCTGCTTCCTGTGCCTTTAGACCGTTATAGGTCTCTCAGACACTAACACACAAAACATAAAAGACACTAAAACACTAATACACTAAGACACTAATATACCAAAATATACTAAAATACTAAGATACTAAAAACACTAACATACTAAGATACTAACACACCAAAAACACTAAAAACACTAAAAACACTAAAAACACTAAAAACACTAAAAACACTAACACTAAACACTAAAATATCGTTTTAATATCCTAAATTTCTGAAAACTATGGCTATAAGGGTTGACTACAGTAACTTCGTTAATCCTACTAGTATCCCTTAAAACGGTATTATAACCTAAGTAACCGATATACAGTGACGTTCCATAAGTTTTTAACCCCCTGCTGACCCACTTTTCTTACCGCCTACCCTATACGCGCTACTAGAGAACACGCTAAAACCAGCGCGTCGCGAGATAGCTACTATTTTACGCAAAATTTCCCACGTAGATAGATTTATACTAATCCTACATATATCTACATATATTCTATACGCTCTACTATCTACTGTATTGATATGGCTCGATCGAAGGAGCTTACACCTACGCTACGCGCGCGTATATGCGAACTATATGCAATCAACTGGGGCTATAAGCGTATTCATAAGCGTTACCCCTGGATTCCTCTCTCAACAATTCGATATACGATCATTAAAGAGCGAGAAAGACAAGATAGTATCTCGAAGCCACGCAAAGGCCGGCCAAAGAAGCTCACTAAGGCCGACAAAGACCGAATTATCCAGGTTATTCATGAGAACCCTCGCGTTACACAGGAAGATCTACTTACTGAGGTCGACCATAAAGTGAAATATGCCTCAATTCGACGACTACTTAACGCTGAGAATATACGCAAATGGCGCTGTAGCTGGCGACCTTACCTTGAAGAAATTTACGCGGTAAAACGACTTTAATAGGCTCTCAAATATCGCTCATTTACACCTGATGATTAGGCCCGTGTTTATTGGTCTGATAAATATACTGTTGAGCGAGGAATTGGTGTACGTCGTGAATGGACTTTTATACGCCCTCGGGACTAAGCACGCGAGGGTCAATGCCAGGGTTTACCACAGCGTGGAAAGCAGGTTAAGTAGATATTCTAGGCTGCTTTCTCGGCCTCGCGTCGTACGGGCTTAATACCTCTATTTAGCGATCCTAAGTCAGAGCGTAGCGGTGTTAATCGTTTCGTTATCGAGGAATTATATCGCCGGGTTCTACCTACGTTACTGCCTACTGAAGATGGGATTTTTATACACGATAACGCACCTACGTATACTGCGTACGTTGTGCGCGATGCTTTAGCAGATATGGAGATCGAGGTGATGGTTTGGCCGCCTTATTCGCCTGACCTTAACCCAATTAAGAACCTATGGGCCCTATTGAAGGCAGAAATCTATAAGATTCGGCCTGATCTTCTGCATATAAAGAACAACGATGAGACTAAGCGAATCTTGGTCGAAACTGCGCAAATTGTATGGCAAAACATTGATATGCGGTACCTAGAACACCTTTCAGAGACTATGCCTAACAGGGTTGAAGCAATCATTGAATCGCAGGGGTGGTATACGCTATATTAGGGTATATGGGGGTGCGTTAGCTAGTTATTTAGTAGAATTATCAATATTATGGAGTTTTGGTGGAGGTTTTGCGACCGGCAGTATATTATGTAATTAAGGGTGTGTGGGGCAGGGGGTTAAAAACTTATGGAACATGACTGTACTAAGAGAATTTATACTTAATAGCTTAAATCTCTTAATAAATAGCGAAGAGTTTAACGAATAGATTATAACTATAACTACTATCCTCCGCTAAATACGATTATATAGATTCCTTAGTACAATCATTCTAAGACCAGAAATCACCGATTCCTATATAAAGAAATAGGTCGATCATTCATACAAAATTTAAGGATAGCTATAGCAGGGTCTCTTATAAGATATCTAATACTAAGTAGCTATAACCGGTATAAAGTACGAATTTACCGATAAGTTTATCGTTATTTTGAAAACGATCCTTCGTACTATAGACTTTATAACTTATAACAAAAAGATTCTTGAAGTTATTTAAACAGACCGTTCTTAATTCTTAACTAGACTTAACTTTGCCGAGGAGTTACGACGATCTTATACTAGATTAACTCGTAAATATCCTATCCTACCTAGAATTATTCTAGCTATATTATTAAAGGGTGTTATAACGGATATACTAATTCTTATTACGAATAAAAACAATAATCTTGCTAGAAAATATTCTAATCCTATTAAAGTCATAAATACGGATTTATTAAATATTTTTAATAATATAATTAGTGATTTAAAGAACTTACCTACTATAGGTATTATTAATTCGGCTATCTTAAAGAAGGATAAGAAAAATAGGGAGTCTGATTTCCTTCCTCTTAAAAACGCTCTACCAAAAGGGAAATTACCTTAGGAATAGGTATAAGAATAGATTGATAGTCTAACCTAAATTTCACTAAATAGATATTATCTATTTTACGGAACCTATAGCTACTTTATAAAAAAATGCCTATATCTAGTTATTTCTGAAAGACCTATAAATTAGGAACCTATAAAGGGTATTTAGATTAATTTCCTATAGAGAAACAGAGATAATCCTAATACTATACGACCTAACGATTTTTAGTATATCTATAATAATAAAATTCGTAAGGATAACTATTTAATATTAATACTAAAGACTCCTATTATTTCTGATATAACTTTAAATACTATAATAACTACTACTATTAATTCTTCGGAATATTATTATAGTACTCTTGTAATTAAACCCGTCGAAGATATAGAGTATGATTTTTCTATTCGGCCGGTTATATAACCTACCCGCTAAATCCTACCGGTCGCAAAAACTCTAAATCAATAAAACTAACACGTTAAATACTAAATTTCATAAATTATACTAAATTTATTACTAATATAATATAATAAAATTATTTCGATATAACTTAATAAAAGAGATCCTAAGACTCTACAATATAGATATTTTTAAAATAAGGAAAAAGTAAATTTAAGGGAAAATATAAATTATTTTGCGGATAAAAATAATTCAAAGTCACTAAACACTATAAATCGGTAATTTAATATATTTAGTAATAATACCGAAATAAATCTATACCTATAATAAATTTAACTTAAATACCCTAAACTTACTAAAATTCTATATAAAAGACGTTCTAATAAATTAATAATTTTAATTAATATAATTAAAAAATGTAAAGAAATTGATGGAGTTTCCTCCCTCGGTGCTGAGTGGTGTGTGATCAGGACCAGCTGTCGCCTAGTGTTGAGAGGTTTGGAGGTTTTCCCCTGCGTGGGCAGGTTTTCCCTTCTTCCTCTCCCCAACCCGTTCAGATCTCGTGCTGCTTCCTGTGCCTTTAGACCGTTGTAGGTCTCTCAGAAATAACTTTACAAACTTCGAATATTAGTAATTCTGAATACGATACTTTAACTTCGTCTGAGAAAACAAATCCTCGACTACGCCGTTCACCAAGCTAAGTTATATAACGAAGTTTGAATTCGATTAAAGGGACTTTGAAGAAAAAGAAAAATAGTTAAATAGTTTAATTTAATTCTTTTAATTTAGGCGTTCCTGAATTTTTATGTTACTTACGAGGATATACACTTAAAATTAGTTTATTATATAGCTAGTCCTAGGGGGGTATAATAGAGTTTCCTCCCTCGGTGCTACGTGGTGTGCGTGGCTAGGACTAGCTGTTGCCTAGTATTGAGAGGTTTAGAGGTTTTCCCCTGCGTAGGCAGGTTTTCCCTTCTTCCTCTCCCTAACCCGTTCCGATCTCGTGCTGCTTCCTATACCTTTAGACCGCTATAGGTCTCTTAGTTACAACACTAAATACTCCCGTATTCTTATAGCCCGAAGTAGTCCTAATAACTAGTTACATTTTAAATAGAATCAAAAGACTAAATAAATCTAAATCACCTCTGGAAAAGTGGAATAATTTCTAGTACAAAAAGAACAGGATAAGGCAAATTAAACCGATCAATTTAGGCTTTCTCAGGGTTTAGTTTTCTAAAGCCTATATTTATATTCTAAAAGAAAAAAGAACCTAAAGCCAGAAAATGGCTCTAAGAGTATAGATTAGTTTTCTTGTTATTTATAAAGGGGAAAACGGCTATTAATTCAGAATCTATAACCCGAAAACACGTTAAGTTTCCACTTACCGAGATATTACCTTTTGGGAAGAGCTATCGATAAATTATTATTTTCCAAAATAAAATATTAACATCTAAGAGACCTATAACGGTCTAAAGGCATAGGAAGTAGCACGAGATCTAAACGGGTTGGGGAGAGGAAGAAGGGAAAACCTGCCTACGTAGGGGAAAACCTCTAAACCTCTTAATACTAGGCAATAGCTGGTCCTAGCCACGTACACCACATAGCACCGAGGGAGGAAACTCTATTATACCCCCCCTAGGACTAGCTATATAACTAACTAATCTCTAATATATATATTTATATATAGTATAAAATAAAACGCCTAAATAAAATATTATCTCGGTAGATATATTCTGAGTAATCTTCCACAGTCTTCTTAGAATATACCGTTCGGTTTAATTTTCGTAAAGATATTAGTAGCGTTATCCTTACTTAGAATATTTACTAATTAAATAAGGTTCTTCTTTATAAGGTCCTTAATTAAGTAGTATCTCGTAGAGATCTATATTAATTTTAGACTAATTTTAGGATAGTTTATATTTTTAATTATATTATCGGAGTCATAAATAATATAATTAGTATATTATTTTTAAAATCCCCTTCTTGATTTAAGGGTTTTATTAATCCTAGTTTAGTAGCAATTTTAGCTAGGTATAAGCCTTCTTTTACAGTAGTCGCTAAGGCGTAATATTTAGCTATACTTAAGGATTAAGTAATAACTTCTTATCTTTTTAAGCTCTATAATATTAGACTCCTAGCGAAAAACTATATATATACCTCTATTAATTTACCCTTTTCTATATTAGTAAAGGAGGAATCAATAAAACCTTTAAGGCCTTTATCCGATTCGTAGATAAATAGAATTCTAAAGTCGATTATTCCTATAAAATATCTTAATAATATTTTATAGGCTATTATATTAATATATCTTAGAGAGTTATTTCGTTATTATAATTTAGATATAGCGGCTACTATATTAGGTCTTATTTGAATTAATAACTAATCTACTCTCCCTATTATTTTTGCGTAGATCCCTTTATTAAATTCCTTATTATTTAGATTATTAGGGTCGTTATTAGGTTAAGGGATTTTCTAAGATAGGGATATAGGAATTAGTAATAGGTTATAATTTTTAAGACCCTTATTATAAAGTAATTTAGTTAAGTAAGCCTATTAGTTTATAAAAATTATATAAGGACCTATCTCTTTAATAATATCGTATCTAAGAAACCTTTTAAATAGAAGGATTTTTAACTTATATCTCTTAATTAGTCCTAAGCGAATTATTATAATATTCTTATTTAACCCTATAGCTAGAATATTATCTATATAAATTATAACGAAGGCTATTATATTAGAATTTTTAAAAATATAAGATTCTAAGACTAAGGGGATTAAACTAAGTTAGGCTAAATTATTTTTGAATAATTTATACTATAAATTACTAGCCTATTATAAACTATATAAAGCTTAGTTTAAAACGTATAAATATTCCTCGCTATTTAGACTATAGCTCTTATATCCGGTTAGTTATTTTATAAAAATAACCCGATTATTAATTATAGTATTTAGATATACGCTAACGATATCCTATTATTCTGTTTCCTATTTTCTAATAGTTACTAAGGTTATAAATAGTTTCACAGAAGTATCTTTTGTAACAGGAGCGTATCTCTTATCGGGTTAGAAATCGATACTAGGAGTTTGATAGTTCCTATAG